GAGATGACAGAGGGAGGGAACGAGAGTAGACATCAGAGGAGGCAGGGAAGGAGGGCGGTGCTCGGGCCTGCTGGTCGGTGCTTGAGGTGGCCGCCGCTGCTGCTCGTCGGGCCGGCGGAGGCAAGCTCCGGCGGTTCGATGTCATAGCCGGCAAGGTCTTGCGAGGGGAGGAGGCGTGAGGACGAAGTACGAAGACGAGAGGCTAGTGCCTTGGAGGCTTGCCATGGCTCGGGCACTCGGGTCGAGAGGGGGCACTGGGAGTTATGGAAAGGATGGACAGTGAGGTGGCTCGGGGCAGCTTGGGGCTTGAGGAGCTCGGGATCGAGCCTCCTGCTCGATCTGGAGGCGGGCATGAAGATGGATCGAAGGGAGGAGGTGGTTGGCCCGGTGCTGAAAACGAGAGAGGCGGTCGGTTGCGGGTTTGGATCTGGGAGATCCCGAGGTGGGAGGCGAGTGGGTGGTTGGCTGGCGGCGGCGTGGTGGGAAAGGGTGGATTTGATAGGCTAGGCTAGGTTTTGAACCGGTATATATATACAGCAGGTGGGTTAGCTTAGGGGCTATTCGGTCCCTCTGATCGTAACTGAACGGCCTGAAATAAATAGGTTAGGAAGTCCAAATAATGAATCGAAGATGTTTTAGTGATGTTTGGGGATGATCCAGACCCTTCGGTCACGACTTTCCGGGTCAGGTCGGGTAAGTTTTCTGATGCGCACGCGAGGGGGTCTCAGAGAGGGTCAACGGAGACAAAGAGAGAAGCGACAACTATGAACGAGTATGGGTTTTATGAAAACATGCAGATGCAATATGCATGATGCGATGATGAATGCAACAAATGATTAAAACATACGACAACAACGAAAAACATGGAAGGCATCTGGACTCTGGAGCGTCGGTCTCGGGTTGTCACAAGGGGGTCTTCTTCCCCATTGAACCTTATCTCTTGAGCTCGTGTTTTCCCCCCATTGTTGACCTTCTTCGAGCTTTCTATCTCTCAATTCCTCCTTGGATTCTTGCTTGTTTTTTTTTTTGGGGGGAGAGGGAGGAGATCTAGATCCACATTTCCACCAACCACTTTCTCCTCTATGTGAGGGGAACCCCTTCGATATAGATCTTGGAGTTCTTGGTGTTATCCTTCTTGTTCTTTCTCTCTTTTTCATCCATAACTTTGTTGCTTTGGTGGGATTTGACAGTGAGGGACTTGGGCACTCCGTGTGCCCTTGCTATTGCATTAGTTTCATTGGTTTGAGTTCTCCATGGTGATACGTGGAAGTTACAAGTTGAGAATCTTATTACTCTTGGGTGCTTGGTACCCTTGAGCTTGTTCCTCTTGGGTGCCTTGGTGCTCTAGATGGTTGGTGGTGTTCGGAGCTCAATCATTATGGTATAAAGCGTCGGGGTCTCCAATTAGGTTGTGGAGATTGCACCGAGCAATTTGATGGGTACCGATGACCGCCCCCAAGGGTTGCCAAAGTGTACGGGTTCGGTGACCGCCCCCAAGGGTTGCCATTTGTACGGGTTCGGTGACCGCCCCCAAGGGTTGCCATTTGTACGGGTTCGATGACCGCCCTCAAGGGTCCCTTAGTGGAATCACGTCATCTTGCATTGTTGGAGGGTGTGAGAAGATTACGGTGGGCTTAGTGGCTTCTTGGGGAGCATTGTGCCTCCACACCGCTCCAAACAGAGATTAACATCCGCAAGGGCGTGAACTTCGGGATACATCATCGTCTCCGCGTGCCTCGGTTATCTCTTACCCAAGCCCTTTACTTATGCACTTTACTTTTTGATAGCCACAGTATTTCATGTTATATATCTTGCTATCACTTAGTTGTTTATCTTGCTTAGCATAAGTTGTTGGTGCACATAGGTGAGCCTAGTTGTTTTAGGTTTTGTGCTTGGCAAATTAACCGCTAGGTTTATTCCGCATTTGTTCAAGCCTAAACTGTAATTATTTTAAAGCGCCTATTAACCCCTCCCCCTCTAGGCGTCATCCACGATCTTTCACCAGAACCGTTTGAATTGGACTGTCCGAATCACGGAAGCCATCCAACATCGACCTGTATCGGTCGACGGAGCGGTCCGAGCGCGATTTCTCTTGCAAACCGGAGACAAAACTGGGGGAGGTTTGCGGGAGCCCGGATCGCTCCCAAGTCCGTTTCTGACCGTCCCGGCCCACCAAAAAAATCTCTGCCCCCCGTCAACTCCTGCCCGACGCCAGTTGTGCGCATTCATGCCGTTGTAGAGCGCACTGCTCCGTATTGAAGATGGCTCAAGACGGACGCGATCTCTCACTGCCTCCACCATTAAAGCGGCGCCCCGGCTGAGGGCGCCGTCTGCTGCACGCCCAGCTGAACATGCCTCCTCGCCGCATTCATATGCCTCCATTAACCCCGCGTGGAGCCGAGAAACCTACTCCAGCCGCACGTCCGTTCAGGAGCGGGTCGGCCGAGCTCCTCCCGTCCGCCCTCTATTTAAACGATGGCAGGCACAAGGCAAGGATCACTCCCCTCTGTCGCTCCCCCTATCTCCTCTTTCATCATTTTCTCCACCATTTTGATGGCATCCGATGGGCAGGAAGAGTAGTTCTCCGGCATAAAAGTCGACATGGTGGCCCCCGGCCCGGCGAATACGAGCGAGGCAGCTCGCTGCTCCACGTTCCTCCCCTAGGCCAACAGAGCAAGTCTCCGGCCCAATCCGACGCGTGGTTCAACAACTCGCCGATCCAAGCCAGCTCACGGAGGAGTGGCGAGTTGCTCCAGGCCGGCATGGAGGGGAGAACGGCGGCATGGGCATGGACGACGTCGCGTCGTACCGCCCCTCCAATGCCTACGACCGCACCATCTGCCATCAACACGCGCGTAGCCGTGCCATGCAGACAGAGAGAGAAGGCGGGTGCACACAGTGGCGAAGCCACGTTATAGTTGGGTAGTCAATTGACTACACAACAATTTGGAACATCGAAGACCACCACGTCTCCGTACTCTCCCCAGGGCTAAGAAACGGGTTCTGGAAACTGACTAAGACAGGCCCATTTGTTATCTGATATGGTTTGCCTGTGATTTGGCTGGCCCATATAGTAAAGGAAAGTGCACACGGACGTCCAAATTATAACTTTCCTAATCCGCCGATTCTTAAATCTGGTGATTACTCTTTCTACTACTACTTCTCCCTTCTTCACCTTCGCATGTAATCCCTAATGGCCAACGAGGGCATAATGCCGGCATGAAGGAGCACATCATGCACGGATGCGCATGTTGCACACCAAGCGTTGACGCCGCCTCGCCGGCTGGAATCACCACCGTGAGCACGGCCACCACTGGCGACCGGCGAGTGCACCAGGAGTCTAGCACGAGGTCCATTTTCTTACATTTGTACGTTATATCTTCTTCATCTTCCAATTTTTTTTCTTGTACTAAGAAATTAAGATCTTGTTTTTCATAGTAAAAGGCTTGTTTTGTCACTTGTTAGATCTTATGTTTGGTAATGACACCAATGAAAAATTCATAAATTAGTCAAAGGGCTGCAACCAGAAATATGTGTAAAATGAAGTATGGTCTTTTATGTGCCTGTTTATTTTGTCCAAAAAAATTCATTTAAAAAGCTTGACAACACAAGGCCTGGATCCTGGCACCGCAACTGGGTGCACGGAGGAGATCGACGAGTCGGTGGCCAGCACATCCGCGTCAACGTCTGCTGGCAATTTCGAGGGAAAGTAGAACACTGGAGGCCGTCGTCGCTTGGGTCCCAGAAAGGCCATCGCCGTCGCGTCCCTGGCTTGTATAGCTGGTGACGTGCCCGGATTCTTCTTTATCTTAGACCACCCTGACCTGGGCGTCCAGGGAAGCATCCTTCCCCTCCGTCTGAAGCACCCTCTTCGCCATACTTCGATGAGAGGCTCTGCGCGTCTGTACATGCTCATAGTTTTAACTTTTTAGTTAATTCCAAAATGTAACCGTTAGTATGAAACCCGTCATGTTTGTATGAAATCAGGTCGAGTTTATATGAAATCCGTCCGTGTTTGCACGAATTTCGTCCGGTTGGTTTGAGTTGTTGTGAAAATGTATACGGCCAGCATTGGATGGCTGTCTCCCGCATCCTTGTCCACGGAATGGTCCTCCTTGTCCGCGGACGGATGCGGGAGGTTTTTTTGGGTTGCCGTTGGAGATGCCCTGACTTTTGGTTGGATGTTTTTAGAAATGATCCAGGTAAAAAACCTGGTCTTCGGCCGGTGGTCGGAGTCGGTGATGGTGAAGCCTTTGGCGTCGTTTTCTTCGTGAAGGCATCATCGAGCTGAAGCTCCCAACTCCTCCCGCTACCTCTGAGGGAAACCGTTAATCAATTGATCGGATGATGGCGGCGCACTTGTGTCGTTCTATACTTGAGGCATCATTCTTGGAGGTGTGCATTGGCTCGAGGGACCAGTGGACGATTTTAGCAGTGGAACGGCGTTTCATGTCACGCATCGACGATGTGGAGTCTTGGCAGCGTGACGCAGCAGGGTCTCACCGACGGATGTATGATGATGGACGTGCGAAGGGAGGTGGCGTTGTGTGGTGCCGTGGTGACGACGACGGCAGGCTGACAAGGTCGATGCGTCAATAACTGTTTTGAAGATGAATCGCTGGGAGACGGTGGCGGCGACCTCTGAGAATGCGCCGGACCGATGTGTGCCCCTGGTTGGGGCCTCCGATTTCAGATGTTATCCTTTGGTATGATGTCTATTTGTTATTCGGTTCGGACAATCGGCATCTCTTCATCAAGCAGTTAGAAATAACGACAGATGTTGCCAAAATGATGACTTTAAATTTAATGATATATTACTTTGTAAGATTTTTATAAATAACTAATAAAATGACTGCATGCATCATTCAGAATACAGAGACCGGATGGTCATCCTTCTTTAGAAAAAACGTCAGCCTGGAGATGTCCCCTACTGAGAATCGTAAGCCACGCGCTGCTGCGACTGCGAGGTGTCAACCCCCACAAGCCACAAGCCACAATCCATGGCCACCACCAAGATGTGCAAGCTGCCGAGCGCTACCAGGCTGTTTCTCTTCGTCGCGCAGCTGGGATGGACATGGGCACTGATCCCTCCTTCCCCCGTGGCCGTGGGCCTCTCTGCCCGGCGCTACGACTCCATCTTCAGCTTCGGCGACTCCTTCGCCGACACCGGCAACAACCCCGTCGTCTTCGCCGCCAGCTCCGTCTTCGACCCTGTCACGCGCCCACCCTACGGCTCCACCTTCTTCGGCCGCCCCACCGGCCGCAACTCCGACGGCCGCCTCATCATCGACTTCATCGGTACACATGCGCACTCCTCAGTTGTCATGCTGCCCTCAACAAACTCCACTGATCTGATGTGGTCAACTCAACTGCTCTGCTTGCAGCTCAACGCCTCGGCCTGCCGCTCGTCCCGCCGTCCCTGGCGCACAACGGGAGCTTCTGCCGAGGCGCCAACTTCGCCGTCGGGAGCGCCACCGCTCTCGACGCCGCTTTCTTCCACGGTGGCAAGTTCCCTCTTAACGCCAGCTTGGACGTACAGCTGCAGTGGTTCGAGTCGCTCAAGCCTTCTCTCTGCCGCACAACCAAAGGTTGGTGCTAGTTCCAAGTCAAGCGACGCAAGCCATGTACGTATTTAGCTACCTGAAGAGTGATAAGGAATTGATATGAACCTTACATTTCCACTGCAGAGTGCGAGGCCTTCTTCGGCAGATCCCTCTTCTTCGTGGGCGAATTCGGGGTCAACGACTACCACTTCTCTTTCCTCACCAAGAGCGTGCAAGAGATCATGTCGTTCGTTCCAGATGTCATCAGGACCATCTCAACGGCCATCGAGGTACCTCGTCAGCAATGGATGTCAATGTAGCAAGTCACCAACCTGCATTGCAGCATTGCGCGGTATTGATCTAGCTATGGCAATGGCAACAGGGGCTGATCAAGCACGGGGCGACAAATTTCGTGGTTCCAGGGACAATCCCATCGGGATGCGCACCGCCGGTTCTCGCCTTGTTCCCCAGTGCCGCCCCGGCAGAATACAACTCCACCACCGGTTGCCTGGAAGATATCAACAAGCTAGGGATGCACCACAACCTGCTGCTGCAGGAGGCCCTTGACAAGCTCCGGGGCAGGCACCCGGACGCCATGATTGTTTATGCCGACCTCTTCGGTCCAATCATGGACATGGTGGAGTCGCCTGGCAAGTATGGTAAGCAAATTCAGAGCTATATTCTGCAGTAGGTTGTTTGCAGTAGGTGGTGGTAAAGGTTGATGGTTGTCATTCTGCAGGGTTTGAAGAAGATGTTCTTACCGTTTGTTGCGGAGGGCCTGGGACACTTTTCTGCGGCGATGAAGGTGCAAACCTATGCGAGAAACCGGCTGCTCGTCTGTTCTGGGACGGCGTCCACTTGACGGAGGCGGCTTACCGCTACATTGCCGATGTCTGGCTGGACAGCATAGACTCCCCTGCAAGACAGAGCAGATATCAGTTAGTGAGGTAGCAGAAGCTGCTCTGGTTCATGGACTGATGGCTATATGGATCGAGTCTGGCCTGTCTGACTCCATCAAGGACTTTCTGACCGAAAACCACTGGAAATGGAATGGAATCATGGAAGCTCCAAGATAAGACTCTGAAGGAGTCACGCTGAACTCCGAGCGAATTACACCATGCAAGTTACAAAACCAGCGGATAAAACATTTTTATGCTGATTCTAATACTGAGACACGCGGTTTATTTGGAAACTATTTCCTGTTCGTTTTAGAGTTATCTGTAGTTGATTGGATGGATCCGATCTGGAATTCGAGTACTGTTCGTTCTTCTATGTCATTACTCAAATATTCACCAGAAATGTCTTGGTACTGTTTGTTCTTCCATGTCATTACTCAAATATTCACCAGAATCTACAACCATGCATCATCGGGAAAATAAAATCTACAACCATACTAACAAGTAACTCTCACAGGTAAAATGACACAATTGTCATCCTTGTCTTCTGCAAACATTTGTATTGCTGCGGTAAACAATGGGAAACCCTGCTTCAAACATAAGGCTTAATTAGGTTTCTGCAAAAATCGCAGTCTGTGGAACTAAATCTACTGTACTAGAATTCATTCATATCATATCTTGCGCTCAATTTCAGATAGATAAATAAACTTGTTGTACTTTAGTTGTTCTGAAGATGAACGGACAAGCCTTTGTGTCATAAAAGAGGTGAAGCCGTTGGCTTAAAACAGCTTTTCCACAAGTCTATATATAATGTAACAAATTGCAGTTCAGAACCTTGGTCAATAAGGGGCAAGTGCAGTTCAGGAAAATACAGTACAAAAGACACAAACTTAATTCTTGATGTAGATCCTGGACAAATGGAACGAAGCTTTTGGTCCTTCAGAGACTATATAAGTCTGTAGAGGGAGTGCAATCCTCCATGCCCACAAAATTCAGCAGCGACCTCGGAATAGGAGGTACTTCAACATCCATGACACCCTCTAGCATGCGAACAACTTGCCCCATCATTGGCCTTTGATCCTCAGCATCTTGAATGCACCAGCATTGATAGGTGTGAGTGAACAAGTCCGGTACCAATTCCACTATTCTTTCATTTCATATTGAGTGAAACGGGATACATCCTCAACTTTAGGAAAAGGTAACTTGGTATTGTTTATCTCATTTCCTACTCACCTTTGCTCGAGTCTTGTGATGGATAGGCAAAGCACTCCACCTTCGGTCTACAACAACGACGAGTTCGATGCCACGAACAACAACTTCTACGCCAAGATGCACGCTCAAATGTGAGGAGATCAAAGCCCTCATCAAGTCCTACAAGCGATCTTCGTCATCTTCGAGAAGACGCTCAAGAGCACATGCCTCCGAGCTACCATCTCCGGCAAGATCACATTGGCATCGACACCATCACCAACAAGAATGTGAAAGTCAAGAGCTCAACACCAACAACCGCTCAACGACTTCACTACCTCCGTTGGTATCTTCGCCAAACGACTTCAAGGCATCTTCACCTACGGACATACGACATCTTCTCCAACAAGCACCCCAAGACTACGCTCAAGAGAAGCTCCCCAAGCTCAAGTCCGCGACTTCCACGAGCTACTACGACCTCGACATCGACCACACGATTCCTTTCTATGGGACTGAAGAACCCGAGGAGTCTCTTGAGTGGGAGTGCTTGATGGACGACTACCTCAAGCTACATCAAGTCCCTTCCAAAGATCAAGTGAAGTGCGCCACAAGAAACTTCCACGACTACGCGTCCACATGGTGGCTTCACAAACCTTCGGAGAGGTACGACATGAGTTGGCCCAAGATGAAGAGAGCTATGCGGCGAGAGTTCGTGCCTCCAACCTACACGGAACAACTTCTACGCCAATTGGAGAACACCATCCAAGGATCCAAGTCCATCGACACGTACTTCAAGGAGATGAAGAATGCCTTGCGATGAGCCGGCGTGGACAATCCTGTTTTGATAAAGTTCCACTTCATGATGGGATTGCACAACGACATCTCCAAGACTATCTTCCTCGAGAACTACAAGTCCCTCAACAACAACTACATTGGTGCTCTCAAGGTGGAACAAGAACTCATGAAGGCCAAGGCTTCTCCACCCCAAGCTCACTTCGCGACGACCAAGCTCCATGAGAACGAGCATGAGGATAGTACCACCAAGATGTCCAAACCCGACGAGCTCCAAGACGATGCTCCCAAGTTCGACTTCACCGCCATCCCTCTTTGTGGCATTGATGATGCCGAGTCTACATCGACTCTTTTTCAAGATGGTGCGGCGACGAGTACGACTACGAAGACCCTCAAGGACCAAGCTTTAGAGGCGAGCGATAAGGTGACGATCAAGGATGATGCTTCCATCTTTGGAGGCGAGAGTGATGATGTGCAATCTTCGGCCTTCATCCACATCAACGATGACGAGATGATCGAGCATGGGATTTTCCCTTCGGTCATGGAGGAGAGTGATGATGTGCCATCTTCGGCCTTCATCCACGGCGACAACAACGAGATGGTTGAGAATGGGTTTCTCCCTTCAACCACGACAACGTATGATGACTTGAGTGACTTGTGCCACCATATTGAGAATGAGAGCGAGTTCACCACTAGCCCCACATATGATGAGTTGCCATAATTCCCATGTGTGGAGAGCCACAACCCCCACCACTTGAGTGAGATGAGTGACTCCACCATATGTGAGATTGAGTGCACCAACTTTGAGGGAGTGAGTGAACCACCACATAGAGAGTGAGATAGTTGACAGATCTTGTGAGGCCAATTTCATCACTAACGACTTGACCTCTACCTCTATTGTGTCTTCTCATTTGGTGCTAGGTCCCATATATGATGATGCACCGATCCTCAACGACTTCGTCCTCCCTTTGGACAAGACGATGGCCATGGTAGAATATGATGCACCCCCCACATGGTTCCATCAAGATGAAGATGACCACTGAGGGAGTCCTGGTTTAGGGGGTATCCGGACAGCCGGACTATATACTTTGGCCGGACTGTTGGACTATGAAGATACAAGATTGAAGACTTCGTCTCGTGTCCGGATGGGACTCTCCTTTGCGTGGAAGGCAAGCTTGGCGATTCGGATGTTAGATCTCCTTCTCCATAACCGACTCTGTGTAACCCTAGCCTTCTCCAGTGTCTATATAAACCGGAGGGTTTAGTCCGTAGGACGAGGACGATCATAACCATAGGCTAGCTTCTAGGGTTTAGCCTCTACGATCTCGTGGTACATCAACTCTTGTAATACTCATATCATCAAGATCAATCAAGCAGGAAGTAGGGTATTAACTCCATGAAGAGGGCCCGAACCTGGGTAAACATCGTGTCCCTAGCCTCCTGTTACCATTAGCCTTAGACGCACAGTTCGGGACCCCCTACCCGAGATTTGCCAGTTTTGACACCAACATTGGTGCTTTCATTGAGAGTTCCTCTGTGTTGTCGCTGTAAGGCTCGATGGCTCCTTCAATCATCAACAACAACGCGGTCCAGGGTGAGACTTTTCTCCCCGGACAGATCTTCGTGTTCGGCGGCTTCGCCCTGCGGGCCAATCCGCTTGGCCATCTGGAACAGATCGGCAGCTACGCCCCTGGCCATCAGGTCAGGTTTGGAAATTTGAATTACACGACCGACATCCGCGCAGACTTGATCTTCGACGGATTCGGGCCTACGTCAGGAGCGCTGAACGGTCACGACGAGCACGACTTAGATCTGATGTCACACAGTATTCGGGATATCGCACCTGCAGCAGCTCCAGACCTAAATCCGGGGCAGATTGCGTCATCCGAGGACGGGTGGATGGACTGCGCCACGGAGGCCGCATACTCATCGGCGGTAGAGCCAAACACAAACTCCACCTCTAAGGAAATCTGTGTCACCGGACCCCCGGACTTGTCTCCGGCCGTAGGTTCCGGACCGCGCGCATCCGGGCCCATCGAATCCGATTGGGATCCGGTAATGGAGTTCACCGCTGCAGATATCTTTCAGCACTCGCCCTTCGGTGACGTGATGAATTCATTAAGGTCTCTCTCTTTGTCAGGAGACTCTTGGCCGAACTATGTCCGGCTCGAGTGGGAAGCAGATGACGAAGAAATTCGTTACCCACCCACCACCCACTTCATTGCCACTGTCAATGATTTAACCGACGTGCTCGACTTCAACTCCGAAGACATCGACGGTATGGACGACGATGCAAGAGAAGAACAGGAACCACCACCCACAAGGCGCTAGACAACCACCTCCTCATATGATATATATATGGTGGACACCCCCAAAGAAAACAATGGCGATGAGGCAATAGAAGATAACCCCTTAGGGAAGCAATCAAAGCATGGGCGTCATCGGCGCTGCTCTAAGCTCCGCCGCAGCAATACCGGCACAGGAGACGGAAACAATCCGGATGGTGCCGAAGATGAATACAATCCCGATCAGCCTACCTTCGAGTAGGCCGAACAGGAAGACGGGCAAGTTAGCCCAGATTAACAGGCGACGGACGGAGACTTGGAGGATGACAACTATATGCCTCTCTCCGAAGACGAGGTGAGCCTCGGCGATGATGAATTCTGTGTGCCTGAGGATCCCATAGAGCAGGAGTGCTTCAAGCGCCGGCTTATAGCCACTGCAAGGAGCCTGAAGAAGAAGCAACAGCAGCTCCAAGCTAATCAAGATCTGCTCACAGACAG